ACCTACCTCTGTCAATTGGACTTACACCACTTTCATAATCGCTGATTATGCAATTCATTTACCGACCGATTTTAAGTTATACAAAACATGGGATTTTTTTGAGAAATTAAACACGGACTAGTTATATATAAAAACATTACATTAAATTAAGCATGAATTACGTGATAGCTCATTTTTCTCAAAAATGGACTTACACCACTTTCAAAATAAACGGTCCATTTCTTAAATGGTACATACTATTTTGTTTGTATTGTTTAAATTGTAAAAGTTAATTGTTTAGTATTTATTTTCGATTTTCGTGCACCGTAGACATAATCAAAGCCTAAAATTACGTAATTAGGATATAATTAGTTCACTACCACAAAAACTGGAAAGTATTCGTAAAACATCGGAAATAATATAATTACAATAAAATACGCGAAATTAAACCGTAGAAGTAGTTTTAATTGATAGTTAACTTGTAAATATATAGATAACTAGCTGAGTCGCGATGTTACCCGCGATTAATGTCGTACCGCGCGTGACGCCGCGGGCGAAGATAGTCTAAAAAAATTTGCCTAAGTTACGCCTTTTATCATAAGCTACCTATCAGTGAAAGTCCGTCAAAATCGGTCCAGCCGTTCCAGAGATGACAAACAGACAGACCGGAACAAACAAACAGACAGACAAAAATAAAATAAAATGTTATTTTGGTATATTATGTACTGGGTATACATACTTACGCATTTAGTAAAAAGTGATTTTATTACAAACAGACACTCCAATTTTATTTATTTGTATAGGTGTATATTTTATTTATCGCGAAGCCTAGTCCCAAAGAGTTGAGAACTGCAGTTATTAATCAAAGTTCGCTCTACAACATGATCCAGTCAAATATGCTTAATTGTATAATATTTCGGGCATTGTGCCGAACCTTATTCGAAATATTATGCATATGTATATGCGCCTAAGGGGAATGCAGGTATCTGGGACTTGACCGTCCGCAGATATTGGGGACAGATCGGGGTCTAAAGGATGTTTTTAGCCCGCTGAGTTTATCGCCGGATCTTCTCAGTGGGTCGTGTTTCTGATCCGCTGGTAGATTCTGCGAAGCACTGCTCTTGCTAGGGCTAGTGTTGGCAACGTCACCAGTGTGCTTAGTGCGAGTTTCCTAATGTTCTCGATTGCAAAGTTAAGCCAATTTTGTATGCAGTTGAAACAGCGCCCCTAGCGGCAGACATACGCGAACGATCCCATTCCATACAAATATGAGCTGACTTTTACGCTATCGACAACGTTAAAAAACTCGCACTAAGCACACAGGTTCGAGCTCCGTGAGTTCACCTACTCGCACGGTTACGCTGGCATAGCCTCTCAAGGCTACCAGCTTTAGGTAGGAAAAAAATGGGCCCTAACTACCAAAGGACTTGCACTTTTCTTGCATTGTGTTAACTCAATTTTTTTTAGATTACCAATTAGTGGCACGTATGCTTCATTCAATGGGCAACATGTAACATTTTCAATTCTAATACCTTGTACACCAATTTGTACATTTAAATAAATTAGGTAGAAATTTAATGAATTCACGCAAATTCAAATTGTGAATTGTACAACGTATAAGATAGTACCTACTTTGTTTTTCTTCAATCGACATAAAACGTGCGACCGTGACCTTGTCGCGTGAGTAACGTAGCTATAATGCGCATTATTATAGAATTTTGGTAAAAGTTGATTGAATCCGTTTTTAAAAATATCTACGACGTTCTTGAGAGAACTCTTTTGATAGTAATGACGCAGTTTTGAGGACTGTGTTGCTATGACAGGACGACATGAAGAGATCGTTGGTGAAATATATAGAACAGGTTTTCATGGTTGACGTTTTCATTCCCATTTGCTTAAATTACCATATCTTTTGATCAACCGTTTCGAATAAAAACACTGCGCCTTAATTTAAAAAAAAAGAACATACTGTATCTTATATGTTTACGGTTATGTTTGAATTAGGCTTACAACGTTGCTTGATCTCAGATAGCAAAAGAATAAGGTTCATTCAAATAGAAACCTCATTTGTTCATGGTTCCGAGAACTTCGATATATTATTTAAACTAAACTTATTCGATAAGGGCGACCAGTCGGCTAATTTATTTTAAAAAAAAAGAACATAATATTCGTAACCTAAAAGTACATGTTATTATCCGCAACATGCTTCGTCAGATTATTATTCGATAAGGGTATGTTTCTAACTCATAAACCAAACAGTTCCATTAGTTATTCTTGATTTCAAGCCCCTATGCTCAACTTTAGGTGTTAAGCCAAAAGTTCATCACTCGTTAAAATTGATTTCTCCATTTATATCGCTCGACTTAGTGAGCATAAAACAGAATATTTTTGAAAGGTGCATGCTAATAGTACCTATATAAATTATAGATTTTACTGAAGCTTTGAATGTAAATGAAAAAGAAATGATTGAGCTGGCGACCTGGCATTGGCTCGCGTCCAAATACCAGTAAGCAAGCCAAGATTATTTGTTTCCGTCATGTTTAGATCTTAACTTCGTTCGTTCGTTGAATCGATATAAGTAATTTAACATCCAAATTTTAGGATGTGGCGGTCGCTATCATACAATACAAGATATTTAACAGATACCTGAAAATCGATATAAGTAATCTAACATCCAAATTTTAGGATGTGGCGGTTGCTATCATACAATACAAGATATTTAACAGATACCTGAAAATCGATATAAGTAATCTAACATCCAAATTTTAGGATGTGGCGGTCGCTATCATACTATACAAGATATTTAACAGATACCTGAATCTTGCTTACTACATTTCCAAGATAAGCTTGCATATATACAAGTTCCGAACAACAACTTTCGGACTGTCAGTCTGCCGAGCAATATCGGTGGAAGATCTTCTCTTTGTCGTATAATCCTCAAAAATACATGACGCTGATATCAACTGCTGCGCTCCTAAGATACAAATTCTAATGACATATCCCTTTGTAGCTAAATCGATTTTTTTTATTCATTTGAAATTGTTCGTCAATATTGTTTTCACGCTCGGACAACTACTACGACTAATTACGAAAATAAATAATACAATTATAAAGTAGGTATGTGTTACGTAAGTGCGAGTCGAGATACGACCTTGTGCTTGTGCCATTACAATTATTGAGGCTAAAGGAGGAGTGCAAGGTTGATCTAATGGTAGGGTGCATATTTGATTGGGTGACGCGTGGTTCATTAGTTATTTTCCGATGTTAAATTGATTTCACTTTTACAACAATAATGAACAATGACCTTGGGCAAAATATTAGCTGATAACTTTGGAGACTATATTCCAGACAACATTTTCCCTTTGTTCGTGTTATAGTTAAATTAACATATTCTTTCGATACCTTCACAACAACAACTTCTCCGTTCACGAATCAAATGACTTTTCGTTCTATTATCATGTTTACAAAATTTCAAAAATCGCACGTACCTACCTACCTATGTTCATTTAATTTTCCGTTCATCATTGACTTAGTGCCTTCGTTTACCAGACTAGACTATATAGTACGTTCATTAGATCATCAATCATTATGATTTTGTAGTACAGACGCTACACACGCATCAAGCGATCTGATAAACACGTTTCTATTTTTAGAACGCAGCTACACATACTCGTATAATATGAGTCGACTATTATCAAAGCCGGCAATGTGACTTTTGGACAATTATTGGTAAATCAGAAAAACGAATTATTGACTTTGTATTCCATTGGCAGTCACAAAACTCTTCTGAACGACATCTTAGATAAATAACAGGTTAACTATTAACCTTTATTTAATGCAGGTTTTGAACCGTATTCTTTGAAGGAAACGATTATATTCAAATCAATCTGTATTGACATATCAATAACCTTTGATAATAGACGACTCATATACAAGTTATTGCTGTTATATCTAACGTGACCATACGTCCCGCTTTGGGCGGTATTGTCCCGCTGTCCCCAACGAGAACAAAATTGTCCCGCTTTCATTTATTTATTAGAAACTTACTGAATACTTACTTATCCCAAATAATTATTGTATATTACAAAATACATATTAAAGTTACTAATTTTGCTGTAGAAAATTAGTTTTTTGTTGCGAAATTATTTATAAAATATTGTTTAGAGGGCAAGATGGTGTAAGAATTAAGATGTCAGTGAGGGTAAGATACCATAATAAATTATTTAGTCATTTTTTAAACCATATTTTTTTGTATTTTGCACTTAAATATTACACATATTACCCCAACATACCCTATATTATTATATGTATTTATTTATATACGGAATTCCGTAGGTGTCCCGCTTTGACACGAAAAAACAATGGTCACGTTAGTTATATCCCAACTAAACTCGTCGGATGTTTGCGTCCCCTTTTGTGGTCCACGTCACGATCTTGACAAACGTTCATATAGAATTAGATTCCTCTAGCAAGGAATTCGCGTTCTGTTATAAAAATACGTGTGATTCGTCACGCGAAACTTGCGAACTGTTTGTCCGTACCGTACCGTTTTGTATGAAACCCTATTTATTGGCCCTATCGATGACTTTTGTTCCATCGCTTGTGTAAAGCGAATTATTTTATTAAATGTGTTAAATTGTTGTTCTTTTTTTGTCCTTTTAATAATTTATACGTTCATTAGTCGAAAGCTTAGTTTGTTTTTGTCTTAGTCGATGTGTTCTGTGTGGATGTTGGGGTTTTTAGATTTATTTTGTAATAGTTTGACGTCATAGATGTGTCTCTTCATGTAGTGCCCATTGATTTGAGGTTACTTCTTAAGTCTTTTGTTATATACGAGTTATCGGGGCTTTATGAACCCGTTATAAGAAGTATATAAAAAATTGTTATTCATAATCGTAGATATTAATTAGTAAAGTAGATTGTTAAATAACATATTTTGTTTTTACTAACAACAAAAGCCCGCATGCATATGAAGTTTAACACAAGCGATGGTTTTACATAACATTGGCCGTATAATGCAGGAGGCCAAATGGGGCTACAGACGTACAATGGGTGCGATGTTCGCATACAGCAAGCAAGCAGATCGTATGCTGATGTCGTACAATTGTCAGGTACAGCAGTACGCGAGGGCTGGACACGCCAGGACACCGTCCAGAATGAGCCTCATACAATGCATCAGGTGAGGATCTAAACCGTAATTCTTTGTTTTTTGTGTTCGCCCTTTTTGAAGTGAAACTTCTTTAGGCGCGTTGAGAGTAAAATACATCTCGCGATAAATTCGTTACGGCTAGAAACAAAAGATACAATTTAGGAAAAGCGAGAGTGAGAAAATAGACAGAGCGTCTCGCGAACCACTCGACCGTGCAAAGAGGGAAAGGACAAAGCGAGATAGGTAGTTTATCTTATACACAGCATTCCCGATTACAAGAAAAAATTGATTTAAAGATGGAAAATGAAGAAAACCACAATACTACACACCGCAAAAAAAGTTTCACTTCATTCACGTGCACCTTTTTTTTTTGCTGTATTTTAGTTTTTTTTTAATTCAACTTTTACTAACGCAATAACTGTTGCGTAGCGTCCTGATGTGTGCCCACGCAGGTCATTGATTACACTAAACCCCTATTTTAAGTTTCAACAATTTAGGTCATTGGAACTTATCCGATCGTTATTTTCGGATAACGCCGATACATAGCTTTGGAAGTATTAAGTGTGTCTGCGTGCTAAATAAACATTTTGGCAGAACGCCATTTTGAATAAGATAAATACTTCTAACTTTACATAGAAACAAACCTATGACACGTTTTTCGCAGTCTCCACAATACCCATAAGATCGGGCGTATTATATTATTATATTTGTTATCGTTTATAGTATAAACGTAAACGGATCACGTGCAGAATGTTATCACAAAAAATTCTAAGTGCGTGTATGTGTGTGCTTAAATAATCTACGAGTTTAAAAAAAATACGCTAAAGTAACTTAAGACCGGCGTTATTATCGAGTTTATGCCAATAGATAACAGCATAAAGAAAAAAAAACGGATGGTCACGAGAATAAATCGTGGACTCGAACTGTGTTGTTCGGAATCTGTGGTTTTTCCCCCAACCTATTCGGTTGTAGCTTAAGGGGCTATTCCAGCCTCCCGCGGATGGGTAGGTGAGCTCACGGGCTCAACTTGAGAGGATTTGCTAACATTAGCTCTAGCAAGGGCAGTGCTTCGCAGATTTTACCATTAGATAGGAATGACCCACTAAGAAGATCCGACGAGAAACTCAGTGGGTTATGTCTATGAGTTAGTTCGCTCGTGGAACTTTTCGTTGTAATAGACAAGTTCGATGAGGTGGGGATCCGTGTTCTATTCTATTATATCAGCCCACAGACATCCATTGCTGGACAGAGGCCTCCCCCAAGCCTCGCCACAAAGATCGGTCCTGCGCTGCTTGCATACAGCAGATCCCCGTGAACCTCAATATGTCGTCAGTCCATCTTGTGGGAGGCCTACCCGCGCTACGTCTTCCGGAACGCGGTCGCCACTCAAGAACTTACCGTCCTCAACGGCCATCCGTTCTACGAGAAATGTGCCCTGTCCACTGCCACTTCAACGTCGCAATCCTTTGGGTGATGGGAGAGATGTGCTCCGCACTAAACGCTTCACTTTCCCCCCTTTACCTTTTCATGAGTCTCATACGAGGTTTGGACGATGGTTGTTGAGCGACAGGAGGTTTTAGTCGGTTCGACTCCGGCATGCCCCGCCCTCCATTCCCCAGTGGAGAGCGGAAGTATTGCGACTTTCTACTGACCAAAAAAAATATTCGATTATTATGCTTTTCCTGCGAATCTCCTCATTTCTGATTTGATCTCTTGGGAAACTCCGAGCATAGCCCTCTCTCTTCCAATATCTTTGCGTGACCTTGAGAGCGCTTCCTAATAATTATACGTTATCATAATTAGCTTTATATACGTTCGTTATCGTGTTGATGGAGGCGCTTGAAATGACAACAATTACACGAAACAGGATAGAAACTTTCCCGAGGCCTCGAGTCAACCTAATTTAAACAGACGACAGTTAATTTTAGTTCGATGTTGACATTTAACGTTTTTATCACAATGAAAGAGATATGAATTTACGTCATAATATTATAGGTCGATAATTATCTTCGTTGGTTGGTGCAAAGGTGAAAATGACATGAGCCACGGTTTTTTTTGTTTTTCAGACACATTGTGCAGACCGAAGGACCAAAAGCGCTGTTCAAAGGCTTGGGACCGAACATTGTTGGAGTGGCACCTTCTAGGGCCATATATTTCTGCACGTATTCACAAGCTAAAGCTATTTTGAATCAGAATATACCACCTGACACACCGATCGTTCATCTGTCGGCTGCGAGTGCAGCAGGTAAATATATTAACCGGCTTATGCGTCAATTCAAGAGTAAAAAAAATAAAATAAAAAAAAGCAACTAAAGTTTTAAGCTATTGCATAGCTTTTATCGCAGGCTTTAAGTGCGGCGACCGAATCAAGAAATTTTGTAACAAAAATAAAACCTAACACCCCCACTCCGCCTACCATGTAGCTCGCGTTCAACACATTCACACGTTGCGCTTGTCATGCGCATCATGAAAAGTCTGCCCATCTCTCTCTTGCGCGGTCTAGCTTACGAGTGTGAAGGGGACAGTTAATGTTTTGCTTTTGTTAATGTTTATAAATATAGCGTGGTCTTTTTTTAATATTGTTTTAATATTAAGTTACTATTGTCTAATTATAATTGCATAAGTTGATAAAAAATGCTATGCAATAGCTTTACCACGGCAGTCCCCGAGTGCCATACGTGTTTTTTTTTTATTTTTTTTTTAATATTTGTTATATATTTTCAAATGTTTGTTTATAGTTTTTCGTGTTCATCCTTTCCGACGATAAGATATTCATTTCAGGTTTTGTCTCGTGCACGATGACCAATCCGATTTGGTTTGTTAAAACTCGATTACAATTGGACGGACAACACGTGACAGCCCTACAGTGCATCAAACGGATATACGCTAAATCGGTAATTGTTTTTTGTAGCCGAAGCTAATCGATATTTCAATAAAACTATACATCTAATTAAATCGATACAGCACGGCGATTTTGTCGATGTCCGGATTTTATTGAATAATCTATATATTATTATATAAAAATGTATTGCTGTTCGTTAGTCTTACTAAAACTCGAGAACGGTTGGACCGATTTGGCTAATTTTGGTCTTGAATTATTTGTGGAATTCCAGGTTTAAAAGGTAGATAAATATGAAAATGTTTGGAATTAAATAAAAATAACAATTTTGTTTTTCTTTTAATGTGTCCCCCGTCGGACGGATTCCTTTGGTTTGTTTTAAGTTTATTTTATACAAAAGCTTAGGTCTTTTATTTATCGATTGAGGCACTACGAAGTCTGTCGGGTCCGCTAGTAAGAAATATTTTTTTTCAGGGCATTCGTGGTTTTTACAAAGGCATAACCGCTTCGTATATGGGTATAAGCGAGACCGTTGTCCATTTCGTACTATACGAAGGCGTGAAAGCGCGACTGATAGCCGCCCGGAGCGTGGACGGGGTGGCCAGCGACCAGAGATCCCCGCGTGACTTCATAGAGTTCATGGGAGCCGGTGCCTTCTCGAAGACCGTCGCTTCGTGCATTGCTTATCCACACGGTGAGAATACTTTTTAATGTGGCTTTTTTTTTAATATTGCTTAGATGGGTGGGCGATCTCACGGTCCACCCGGTGTTAAGTGATTACTGGAGCCCATAGACATTTACAACGTAAATGCGCCACCCACCTTTGAGATATGAGTTATAAGGTCTCAGTATAGTTACCACGGCTGCCCCACCCTTCAAATCGAAACGTATTACTGCTTCACGGCAGAAATAGGCAGGGTGGTGGTTACCTGCAAATGTTCACGATTGACTTCCACGGTGAAGGATAGCGTCTTGTAATAAAAATCAAACTGGTGACCTCCGACATGATGTGAAAAGCACGTCATTGACAGTCGTCTCACAGCAAGCCAGCATCGCAGCTTCAACAGCACCATCGCAGCCGACTCACAGTACATCTCACAACAGTTTCATCTCGTTTTTACCATCGCACCGCCCGCCACCGGAGTAGAGTTCATCCATACTACCTGGAGCCACTGCGGTCATCCACAGTGCGTTTCCAGAGGTCTTTTTTGCCACGTACCATCCGGCTATGGAATGAGCTCCCCTCCACGGTGTTTCCCGAGCGCTATGACATGTCCTTCTTCAAACGAGGCTTGTGGAGAGTATTAAACGGTAGGCAGCTGCTTGGCTCTGCCCCTGGCATTGCTGAAGTCCATGGGCGACGGTAACCACTCCCCATCAGGTGGGCCGTATGCTCGTCTGCCTACAAGGGCAATAAAAAAATAAAAAAAAACTTCCTGGTCATACGATACCTGGTCTACCGAGCAAATATCACCCGCTCGGGGGAAGATTTTCCCTTTGTCGTTAAGCCTCCAAAATGAATACAAAGATTTGACAAGAATCTGAAAAATTAAAATTATATTATTTTTGGGTTCATATAAAAATTAGGGTATTAGAGTATTATTGATTGAAACTATACGTACATGCGTTTTCAAACGATAACATAATTGGCGATTTGACTTTTTTCACGTGAAAACCACTTGACCTATTTTAATGACATAATCGCCGAGATATTGTGATAACTGTAATACAATCTAGTGCTGTCATGTTTCCTCTTGGCTGTTTATTTAAAAGAACACGCTAAGAGATTGGTCTACTCAAGGTCACAAGGCCAATGCCAGTTCGGGAGTCGTTCATTTTGTTAGTGAACACCACACATCTTAAGATATTACGTCGACGTATTGTTCGTATTGAAGCAACGGACCTACCTTCAGTTCGGAAAGCGTTATTGGTTCTTGCTCGCAGCAGCCAGGCTTGTGGGGGTTCACATCATGCCCTACCGGTTAAGACGGGACCCGGGTTATTAGTGCGGGCTAGTAGTATAGTAGTAGTAGTACTAGTAGCATATGGTAGCTGTTTAGGGCAGTCCTAAACATCTTTTTTTTTTATCATTGTTTTTAAATGTGGGAACACACTAATAAATATGGCAACAAAGTTAGTGTCAGTTACAAAAAAAATCTGGTCGCACGTGCGCACGTGTTGAACATCAAAAAATAAAAATTCTTCGCTCTGAATCTAGTCTCTATTGAAGCTAGCACCAAAATACAGTCCATGCTCTAAAGTCCTAAACAGTAGCTATTATCTCTATAATATCGGTGTTTCCTGAGCCCTATGGCTTTTCCTTCTTCAAACGAAGCTTGTGGAGAGTGCTTAACGGTAGGCAGCGGCGTGGCTCTGCCCCTGGCATTGCTGAATTCCACGGGCGACGGTAGTCACTCACCATCAAGTGGGCCGTATACTTATCTGCTTACAAGGCAATAAAATAAAATAAAACTCATAACATACAATGCCGTGCACTTAATTATATAACATCATAAAATAGTATACAATTTACACATATTAGATACTTCCATATACTCGTATATAAATATATATTTATTATATACAAAAATGCCAAGTCTTGTTTTAATTAGTCCGTATTCCATGAAACCGCAATGGACAGCGAAACCCGCTTGCCGGGCGTGTATTTTCACAAGACGCGCGCCAATTTTTTTATTAATATAAATGCGTTAAATGCCGTGCTCTTCGTCAAAAATCATCCTGATTACCTCTGGCGTTCCTTTCTAGAAGCTTTTCTAATATATTACTAACAATATAGATCTATAATAAAGAATACAGACAACTTAATGTGCGACTAAATGAAATATTAAAATAAAAACGTTACAGAATAAAAAAAGGTACAAGTTCATCGGCACAAATCTGCAATCTTATCTCGCGCTGATAGGGGGCATAATTGTTTATCGCCTTCACGACCGAGACTATCATATGATTGAAAAATTTTTGTATTGTTTTTATTTTATCATAAAACATCTTTTTGAAGACAATTTTTGTTTATCATTTTTTGTTTGTGTTCTAATATCTAATTAATATATAATATATAGTCTATATATTAATACGTGAAGCAAAAACTTGTATCCCTTTTTACGAAAATTGCGTGGACGGAGGAGTATGAAATTTCCTATACTTATAGAGAATATAGAGAAGTGCAGAAAGCTAATTTTTTTTTTTTAAGTAATGCATAAAAGATACATTAAATCGATAAAGAAAACATTACATACACTACATACCATGTATTTGACGCACACACGCATGCATACTATTTATTGTCAAACTTTGTTCTTGACGTCTGTGGTCAAATTGAGAATAGATTAAATATTGTTTGTCTTTATTAATATTTTTCTATAGTGTAGTCTTGGCGAAATTTGTGATTATAGAAGTATAAAATACAATCATAATAGTGTACAAATTTACAATTCCATATAATTATAGTCGAATTTCGACTACTGCGGGACCTCTAGTATATAGTAATATGATTCTATATCCCGTCTGATTATCATATATGTACTACTAGGTGATACTAAGTACTTTAATTTCATTTAAAGAAATAGAAGTGGTAAAATATTAACATTATAGAAAATAATGGTGGTAACCTACTGGTGGTAGGACCTCTTGTGCGTCCGCACGGGTAGGTACCACCGCCCCGCCTATTTCTGCCGTGAAGCAGTAATGCGTTTCGGTTTGAAGGGTGGGGCAGCCGTTGTAACTATACTGAGACCTTAGAACTTACATCTCAAGGTGGGTGGCGCATTTAAGTTGTAGATGTCTATGGGCTCCAGTAACCACTTAACACCAGTTGGGCTGTGAGCTCTTCCACCCATCAAAACAGGCAATAAAAAAATAAAAAAAATAATAATACATTTACACTTTCTTGGGACAAATATCATAATAATTGACATTATTTTAGTTTATTTTGTAATGTTAAATATAACAGCAATTATTGTTAATAACAGCAATTATTGTTTCCAGAGGTAGCAAGAACGCGATTGAGAGAAGAAGGTGATAAGTATCGGAAATTCTGGCAAACTCTTCATACAGTGTGGATGGAAGAAGGATACCGTGGAGTCTACAGGTGAATAAATATATCTACTTTTTTTCTGCATGGGGACATAATTTTAGCTAAAGTCCTCACTGGCCATGTATAGGAAGGATTTAGAATAGGAACAGAAGTAACCTCAGTATTCCCATACTGTAGCTGTGGTGGCAACAATCCCTGCCTATGTGTGAAAAAAAAGCGTAACAGTAGTAGCTTCATAAGTGGAGTTTCTTCTAATATCACTCTACGAGCTGGAAAACCCTAAAGGCAACAGCTATAATACTATGTAATTGAGTGACCCATTAGTTTGTTCACCAGAATATGCAAAAAAAAAGTATAAGAGAAGCGAAACTTCTTTTATGGCAGTACGAAAAATAGGTCTATGTCCTTGCTGACGTAGAACGCTGCTGCAAAAACATTGCCTTCATTTTTAAGACTTTAAAATTTCACTGACCATTTGCCCGAAGGAGTTTCAATAGAAAAAAAAAAAAAAAAAAAACGAGACTAACCAACGACAATAAACTCCATAGGGGTCTGGGAACGCAGCTAGTGAGGCAGATACCGAACACCGCCATCATGATGTCCACGTACGAGGCCGTCGTGTACCTCCTGACAACTCACTTCAACAACTCGTTCTACGAGAACACTTAGCTCCAAACGAATGAACGAATATGAAATGTTCGATTATTAAAAAAAAAAAAGAATGAAGACGCCAAGTCGTTTACGTCCGTACTGTAAGTCTGTCAGATAGGTGCTGATTGTAAGTTAGTGAAGCCGACGAGAGGAGAGTAGATTTTTTTGTTTCCCTCTTATAATATTGCTATATTAGGTATTGTGCCTGTTGATTTTTAATATTGTTATGAGATCATGTCCGTATCGATAGTCGTTATTAAGTTTTAAAGAAGCCACTTGAAATTCTGTTTTTTTTTTTGTTGTTTTGAAATAATGAGAGATTTTTCGAAATTTCTCCTTATGTTAGATTCGAATATGAAATTAGGGATACACTGTAATTATTATTTTGATCTTCGACAGCCTACAGTCTGTCGGTTACGTGATCAATGGTTCCATAAAGGATGTTTTGGAATTAATTTCCTGAATAATCCGCCTAAATGAACGCCAATTCCGTATGTAGTCATAGTTTCTAGTCTCCATCAAATGTGTCCATTTGTCAATCAATACATTCTAATTGAAATGAGATGAAAACTGAAACCTGTAAGCACAAAAACAAAAGCACAATGTTACAAAAAAAAATGGCTTAACATTTTAAACAAATATTTTGTGTTTATTAAAAAAAAAACATAATGTTTTAAATTTGCCAATTTACTCATTTTCTTTTTTGTTATTAACGAATTGAAATTATTTATATTTTACATAAATATATTTAACATTAGGTAACAGCTTTCTGTGAATTTGTTTGTTAAATTCTGGCATGAAAATTAGTATGGAGCTGTGATATAGTGCTTGTAAATATTAGTAGTAATTAATTAAATACTATAAAGATGTTTGTGTATGAACATTTATTTTTCAAAGATACATAACGAAATGTGCTTGAAATTTGGGTATTGTGTTACTTTTATTGTAAATTTTATTCAGTCTTGAGAATGAGAATATCAAGTTATCAATTAATTATGTATGTTGAAAATATAAAAATATACTCTCATATTATTTTTTGTGAAATAAAACTATTAACATTTAGAACAAAACTTTAGAAAAGATTATATTATTTTTCATGTATTTTGTTCTCAAACAATATGGATAGTGTTCAAATATTTTGATACATAATTGGTATATATAGGTATTTATGGTTGTTTAAAATCTTAACAGATTAAGTTTTAGCCAAGGCGGAAGTTATAAAACGTGCATATAAGAAAGTAATATCAAGTCTTCTGCTTCTGAATCGTTACGTTCATTATTAAATGTTGAATAGGCAGATAGGACTGACCAAATTAAAACTACAGCGGGAGGTCTCCTAAATGAATGCAGTAGGATTGTCCCGAGCAGGGAGAGATGGCGGGACATGTGAGACGCCTCAAGTTTGCCCCCTCCAACATTACACGACAACCACGAACACTGTCAAAAGTGAAACGATTGAGAAGAAGACAACAAAAAAAAAGTTATAATGTACCTTAATTATAACTCCAAAATGTCCACCAAATGGTCAATTATTGTACAGATCTGGGTTTTTTTCTGCTTTCCTGTTTTTCAGACTATAAAAACGCCACATAAATTTCTAAAAATATGTCACAATATAAAAAAGTTGAATTATATTGAAAAGATACTTTTTCTCTCTGATTCTTATCAACCTGATGTATCTTGATGTTTTTACGGTATATTCTGTACCTACTATGATGTGGACGTCTGGCTAGCATCTATCAAACGCAAGAAATGGACAATTTCGATTTAGTACAAAATGTATGCAATATATTTTAGTATACCCTGGAAAGTTTTCGTAATGACACGCGGGTACAGCATGCGCCTTGGCTTTAAAGTATCCAATCAAGTAGATCTTGTTACTTATTAAAAATTATAGGACACATTTGGACTTATGTCGGACTGAGTAAATAAATATTTGTTAAATGAATAAAATTATTAAAAATATTTATTTGTGTTTACATGTCATCTTCATCATATCGATTTCAAAACACACTATCATGTGTAAGTTCTAACAATTTTAGAATGTTTACTATAATGACAATTGTTTCGACTTTGTGCTTGGAAATTAATACTGTATTCTACAATGTTGGCATTTCGTCATTTTGTACCAATACAGCAACACAACACAAAACCCTTTTAACAGCAACTCAAGTTGTCACAGTCTCTAATGGACTTCAGCAATAGTCAGGATCTAGCCAAACAATTGGGTAACAAATGGTATTAGTGTTCTTCCTTCAAATAATGTTCACCTTTCAAAAATTTTAAAAATATAGTTTGAAATGTATCTAAATATTGCTGTGCCATGTTTGTCCAATTTTTTTATTGCATTGATGGGTGGACGATCTCACGGCCCACCTGATGTTAAGTGGTTACCGGAGCCTATAGACATCTACGTGTAGTGACCTTGAGACACGAGTTCTAGGGCCTCACTTTTTTAAAGTACAGTGACTGCTCCACCTTTCAAACCAAACTGCATGATCTGGGAGCAAATAAGTTTGAAATGTATTTTTTACATTTTCTCAATTTAAATTTAGGGTTTTCTTTTTTCCTACCTATTCTAGTGACCTCAAGGGGTCATACTGGATTCACTGAGCGAATAGGTGAGTAGGAGTGGGTGATATAAATCGTATATAGATTCAATATCTATATATCGCAGCAATATCGTTGAATCCGATATCGCCCCGTACGAAATCTATATATCGATATCAGCCGATACACGATATTGCTCGATGTGATGCGCATCGCCATATCGGACCGATTCGTGAATCGAAATCTATATTTCGATATCAGCCGATACACGATATTGCTCGATGTGATGCGCATCGCCATATCGGACCGATTCGTGAATCGAAATCTATATTTCGATATCAGCCGATACACGATATTGCTCGATGTGATGCGCATCG